GAGCCGTTTTAGGTAGGCGTGGCTGACTCTGAACTTTTATAAAGAATATCTGTTTGGATTTGAGACTTTAGTCTTTGCAACTTTACAGATCTTCTTTATGCACCAAGAGCTTGTAACACTCCAAAGAGAAAGGAAAAATTTAAATCGCATCATATGACCCCTTTAATGGTTCCATTAAATTTTAATAATCAAAAGCATCTCCAATTAATTGATTTTATTAAAAATATATATATATTTTTTTCTTCCAGAAATACTGCACATTTACGTTTTTCTCCTAAATTAATTCTGGTAAATAATATTTCTGGTAAATACTCCTTTAAAAAGTGTTTTTTGATTATAATTTTATTATTAGTAAGACTAGAACACGTGGATATGTTGTCATTCTTACACTATAATACTGAACTTTGATTTCAGTGATTTGGACTATGAGATGGACACTTGCTTCTTGCACTTTATGTTGCACTTTACTTTTTTACTTTTGGATTTCATTTGGTTTAATGAAATATAGTTTAATAAAATATTCTTAAGTAAAATTGTTGAAATTTTTTTTGTGGGAAATTAATCGTTTGGATTAATCGATAAATTAGTCGATAGATTAATCGAAATAAAAATAGTCATTAGTGGCAGCACTAGAAGAAACTAATGAAAGAGAACAAAACAGAAAGAACAAACAGAATAGATCGGACCTTGAAAAGGGTTCAGGAATGAATGAAAACAAGTGAACAAAAACTGAAATAAAATGACAGAATGAAGAGAATGACAGGAAAAAAAGATTTAAAAAAGAGTGAATGAAAGAAAAAAATAGAAAAGAAAAAGAGACGAGAGGAAGAGAATGGGCAAGCGGAAAAAAAGACTGAATGAGAGAACAAAGAACGAAAGAGATAACACAATAAAGAAAGAATAAAGAGTGAATGAACAAGCAAAAAAGAAGGAAAGAAATAAGAAACAAAAAGAAAGAGAACAAGAGAAAGACAGGCTCGTCTCTGAGGGGGATTTCAAAGGATTCGTCTCACAGATAACAACCTGTTCCTCAGTGTGTCAGACTCTTCCCACACGAACCTTTCATCTCAATCGCCACTTTGAAAGAGTTTAACGGGAGTTAATGATCTCATTAAGCCCTAATGTCCTCGTTAAATGGGGTCGGATATGGAAACTAGCCCCTTCTCTGAACAGACTGTGAATGGTGCAGGTAGAGGCTCACATGGAGAGCCGCAGCTCCTCAGAGCTTCGAGGGTGAGCTGTGTTACGCTTGAAAGATGCGGTTTGCTGCAGACTGACTGGAATTTTAATACACCATCCGAGGCTCAGACGTGTTTCTGAGAGATTAAACGAGTAAATAAGGCAGCTAATGTGGAGTGGGGGGTCGTGCTTCATTAGAGTCATGGAAAGAAAGTCTGTTAAGACTCTGCCGCTGTAGCCCTGTGTGCTGCGCTAATATAACAGAGTCCCTGTGGATCGTGTGCCACGTTCAGTTGTGGACAGATTATCGCTAATGAAAGAGTTTTTCTATTGAGCAGTGTTCAGTTCAG